ATGCAGCGAATTTACAGCTGCATTATACGCTTGAGTAGACGATGAAAGGGGGTGGAAGGTCATTATTGCTGGTGACGTCAACGCCTGGCAGTGGTATGGGGCAGCCAAGCAACTAACGCAAGAGGTCGTGCCCTGTTGGAAAGCTTCGCAGACCTGTAGATAGCTCTGTTAAACTCCGGCTCGGAAAAAACCTTTAGTCTGGGTGGTATCGGATCAATAATCGATCTCACCTTCGCAACCACTTCACTTTTCGGCGCAACAAAATGGGAATCAAGCGACGTATACACCGCATTCGACCACTTCGCAATAAAATGCACGATTGGTGAAGGAACTGATGCCAGGACGAGAAGCCTAAGTCGAACCGGTTGGATACTTTCGACAACGAGGCCTTTTCAAACGCATTCCAATCGCTTGCCACAATTATCGCTTGCATGACAATTATCGCGTCTAAAGAAGGCTATACGAGATAGCAAGCGAGAATGCTTCCTGGAGCTATGCGACTCAGCCGATTATGATCCTTGGGGCTAGGCGTATAAAACTGTCGTCAAAAGACTCTACGCCGGCAAGCAAACGCAGCCTTTTAACCAAAGTGAGCTGAAGTTGATTGTGAAAACGCTATTCCCAATCAGACCCGACGGCTTACATACGCAAACCCACCCAGCGAGCCACGGAGCAGCCGCGAGGGTGTTAATCGACGAAGTCTCAGTCGATGAGCAGCTGACGACTGCCAGAAGCCTAAAGCTCAGTAAGGCGCCGGGTCCTGACGGAATTCCCAACCGAGCGCTGAAACTAGCCATGTCCTTGCACCCTGCGCAGTTCGTGCAGCTTTTAAACATGTGCCTAATGGAGAGAACTGTCCCCATGATATGGAAACTTCAAACGCTAGTCCTGTTACTTAAGCCAGGTAAGCCGCCAGACGATCCATCGTCATACAGGCCAAAGTGTTGGAGAAGCTCATCTGCAACAGTCTTCAGTCAGCTGTCGACAATAATGGCGTAGTCGACAGAAGACGCTTTGGATAAAGTTGGCGGCATAGCAACAAACGCCATTCAAGGATCGAGATGGAAAAGAAGTACTGCCTTATTGTCACGCTGGATGTTAAAAACGCCTTTAACACAGCCTGGTGATACAAAATATTGGATGCACTGTCAACGTTTCGCGTCCCATATCATCTTCAGGAGACGATACGCAGCTACTTTTCAGGAAGATTGCTGCAATACGACACCGCAGATGGCCCCACTACACACCAAGTGTCCGCTGGGGGGCCCCAAGGCTCAGTTCTAGGACCCCTCCTCTGGAACATCATCGGCGATGGCATCCTCCGACTGGAACTCCCGATCGATACAAGTATCATCGGCTTCGCAGACGACGACGACGGTCGTCGGCAAGGAATTGAAGGACGAAGGACAGAAGCGGTGTTAGTCAGCAGCCGAAAGAAGATGTAAACAGCGCACATAAGAGTCGGCAGCGCGGTAATAGAATCAGCGAGGGTGTTAAAATACCTGGGCGTCATCCTAGACACAAGGATGTCGTTCAGAGAGCACTTGGAGTGTGTGCACAAAAAAGCAGCAGAATCCTGTCGAGCGCTATCAAGCATTATGCTGAACACTCTAAAGCAGCATGGACGCTGTCTTCTCAGGACCGTAACCAAAGCGGTAATAAAGTACGCGTCCCCCATCTGGAGCAGAGCAATGCCTGTTCCTAGCTACGGCCGGGGCGTAAACTCAATATATCGCCTTAGTGCTCTACGGGTCAGCTGTGCCTTCCGGACGGTATCAGACGAAGCGGCTCTGGTTATCGCAGGAATGATTCCGCTTAATGAACTGGCAACTGAAGCGTAAGTTTCCTATAGAGCTCTTAATGGAAACAGCACAGCAAACTCGGTTCGCACTGCAGCAAGGATGCAAAGCAAAGCACGATGGCCAACATGTTGGGATCGGTTATATATAGGACGCTGGACGCATAGGCTTATAAAATACTTGGAAGCCTGGATAAGCCGCAAGTATGGTAACACTGATTTATATTTAACGCAGCTCCTATCTGGCGACGGATGCTTCAGGAGCTACTTGAAGCGATTCGGTCACGACAACACAGACGAGTGTTCTTGGTGTGACAGAGGAATCGCAGAGGACGCCCTACAAATCATCTTTGAGTGTGGACGGTTCTCAGCGAACAGGCAGGAACTGGAGGACAGCCTGTGCATACCTATCACGGTGGACAACTTGGTCAGGAACATGTTAAAGACCGCACAAAAATGGGAAGCAGCCAGCACCTTTGCAGCAGAAGTAATGCAGGAACTCAGGAGAGTTGAGCGCAACAGACGGAGAGCGGAAGAAGTTTGGGTAACCACAACCTGCCTGTGAAGCAATGCTTTGCGGGCGTTCCGCAGGCAAATCACGCTACTTTATCATCAAGTATCCACACTTGTGTCTTTTGCTGCCGCAAGCCCACCGCAGGCATGCCAGAAAAACAAAGACCGTGCCAGTCGCCTAAATTTACGCACCCATCGAAGAAAACATTTCTGTCTTACGACAAACCCTTGAACGGTTCATTCGCACACATTTGTGTGTGTGTAGAGCTTGAAATGCAGAAATCCCAAAAACTTTAAATCTTGTCAAATTTGCATCGAACAGGCAGGCAACCAACAGGCACACAAGCTCATAAATACTTCCATCCATATAGACAAGTGTGTAGGTGTGCGTGCTTGGCCGGTCCAAAATGTTTTCATGCACACATGCCAACGCTCAGTTACCCTTACCAGCAACAAGCATGGAAAATAGCAATTTTGCACATGAACAGGCCAAACCATTTAATAATTTCACACGGCTGCACACCATTTTGTTATGCCCGAAGAGAGTAAGACTGCTGAGAGTGTCAGCCGAACGCCGGCCGACTGTTCAGTATAAAGCCGCATGTCGCTCAGCGCACGACGACGCTGCGGCTGATGCCTTTTCATAATATATGTTTGTTGGTTTTTAATTCCAAAAACATATGTGTGTATGCATGTGCAGAGTGTGCCTCGCTCTCACTCATTGCTTTGCGCCCTTGTGTGCATCTCATTCTCCCTGCATAGCTTCTCAAAAAATCGAGAGATCTTCAAACAAATATATGTTTGTGTTGTGTGCATGGGCGCACAAGTAGATCACGGCGTTTGTCGCAAGCCAGAGATTTTTTCTTCAATTGCGTGCCTTTTGTGCCTGTGGTAGCAAAAGGCACACACATTCAAATGCTCTATCATGTAAAGAATCTGTTCTATTTATATTTAATAAAAACTTAAATGACCTAAACGAAAAATTCATATTTTATAATCTAATTTTTTTGTTTGCTGTGGGGACCTATTTTGCTTAAAATAAAAAAAAAACTAAGTCGTATTTCTGCAATTGTAATTCATCGTCGGCTTGTCGAAGAATTCTAAGAAATGACCAAAAATTGAAAATCAATTATTTTTGCGACTTGCTACTCGTGCACACGTGCCGCATACAATCGATGTCCCGCCTTGTTCTAGCAACAGTTGCTTAGCCATAGCCAGGCAATAGCAACACCGTTTCCAGGTTATGACAAAATAAATGTTTTAAAAACGAACAAAAGAGATGACATTTCTAGGATTGTATATCCCTTGTACATTGTCATGTTGGCCAACTGTCAATCTCAGGGTTTAATTATAACGACAACAGCCGTAGCGTTAAAGCCCGATTTCCACTCCAGTTTAAAGGGGAATCGGCCAAACCGGGGTGTGGTTTTACGGCAGCAACAAATTATAAAAAAAATACCACGACAAAACAAAACAAACGATGATTTGATTACTAACTGAAGATGGGCAGTGCAGTAGAAAGGTATCGATAGATTTAAATGTTGCGCAACAATTGGGCCCACAAGTTCCAAAGCGTAACTCTGTGCATTTTTGAAAGGGAGAGCTGTTTTTTTATTAGAAGGAGCATATAAAAAGAAAAAACCAGACCCAAATGTAAGCTGGCCGCACGCGGGTAGCCAGGCGAGGTTCGGGTCACCAGAGGAGCGGATTGGTCATCATCTCTGGGTGGCTTTAGGTTTTTCTGATATAAAATATTTTTCGTATAAAAATAATCAAGAGCAAGAGGCGCCGTCCTCACCGGCAGGGTACGCAACAGTTTCTCCCAAACTGTGTAGATACGCACAAAAATAATAAAAAGAAATAAAAGGCTCTACTCGGGTGTTCCCGACTCGGGCATACCCTGCACCCTCTTCTAGGAACACCAAATGCAAATCATTGTACGAGCTCGTTTGCTTTCGCAGTAATACAAATAATTTCAACAAATTTATAATTTACAAAGGTCCCTACCCGATAGCCACACCAAAATTTCATATTCCAAAAAAAAAAGCCTTAAAACGTCAGCACAGAAAACAATATATTCGCATTTGTAAGGCTGTTTATATAATTCAATAAAGACGCGCATGAATGTGTGTGTATTTATATATAAATAAAGATAGATACATTCGTGCAATTTTCGCTAGCTGCCGCAAGCACATGTCAAAATAGGCACGTACTATCTTTAATAACTTCTGTGTTTCTTAACCAATATTGATGAAAATTTCAACAGTAGATCTTCCAATACTTCAGATATTTTCATATTCTCAAAAGGACAACTGTCTTAAAATTGTGGCCTAATTTGGTGAGTATTTCCAATTAGTTTATTTATTTGATTCATAGCTATGGGCGGACGCGAGGGTTGCGAATGCTATGAAATGAAACGGACTTGATATATATATATATATATTGTAATAGGATAAGAGCATCATTGGTAACCCTAGCCAGGGTATTATAGTGTCACTATCTATGTTAATTATAACAGTACGATAAGTATATATCGATAATGAAGCAAATGTAATATCGATAAAGAAAAGCGGCTGCGGAGAAGAAGTGGAAGGCAGTCTCTCTACAGTACTAGCAGTAAGAAGACGTGTAAGTTAAATCAATAAAGAAAATCATACTATTACAATATCAGAAGTGGGATTAACTCAGAGAAAAAAAAAACACAACAAAATGGAAAATATAAATATAAATGACGTGTCAATAGCGACATTGAAAAGTTGGTTGGCATTACTAAATTTGCCAACAGAGGGTACCAAAACTGAGCTGATGGCGAGATTAAATAAGGTACCAGTGGATATCCGAGACGATGCTGCAAAGGAACTTGAAGTTCAACGTAACAAGGAACAGACAATTGAGGCTCAAAATGAGTTGCAAAACATAATGCAACAACAGCGTGACGAAATAGCAAATGGCGCCGAGGTGCTGAAACTGATGCGTCTCGAAATTGAAGCGTCTCGAAAATTCCTAGAAGAATTTCAAGTAACGGTGAACCGCAACTCGCACATCGGCGGGAGCGACGGGGGAGAGCAAGAAAGTGAAGTCGGCGATTTATTGCAGCTAGATGATGGTCACACTGAAGAAAGACCACGGTCCACGGATGGCAACGCTGGTGCAGCTGATTACACTGGAACGGCTGGCAACGCTGGTGCAGCTGATCACGCTGGTGCAGCGGGCAACGCTGGGGCAGCTGGAAGGATCGACGAAAGTGGCAACGCTGTCGGAGGCAACTTAAATAATTGCATCCAAACTGGAGCGATGATGTTAGCCAAGGAAATTTTATTAGAATTTACTGGAGAAAGTGAGGTGCGTAAATGGGTAATGCAATTCTTCAATGTGGCCAAGATCTACAAGCTAAATGATATGCAACAGCACTTGCTTTGTATAAGCAAATTGAAAGGCGGTGCTTTGAAGTGGTTGCATGCAGACCCTATGCGCATCATTGCTCCGATTGACGAGATGCTAAATCAATTGGTTTTGGCCTTCGGGGGAGGATTTTCGAAGTCGGAACTACGACAGAAGTTCGAGGATCGGGTTTGGAAACCAGATGAGGTGTTCGCCACATATTTTAGCGAAAAAAGCATATTGGCACAGGACATCAACATTGATGTAGAGGAGTTAATGGAGGGTATTATTCGAGGCATACCTTGCGAAAACTTGCGCACTCAAGCTAGTATGCATTGCTTTACCAATCCGGCTCAAATTTTACGTGCGTTTGCAGCTATAAAGTTGCCAATTAAACGGGTACGAAACCATGTAGTGAAACAAACTGCACAGGAAGCACAGGCGGACAAACAACAACGTTGCTACAATTGCAATGTTAAGGGCCATTGGGCCAAAGATTGTTTAAAGCCCAAACGGGAGGCAGGATCTTGCTATGCGTGCGGCTCAAAGGATCATTTAATAGCAGGATGTCCAAATAAAAAGTATGATATGGAAAACAAATATGTAAGATACTTAAGAATTCATTTTAGTAACTCCTTTAACAAATCAATAATTGCAGAATGCCTTATAGACTCTGGCAGCCCTATTTCATTTTTAAAGGAAAAGTTTGTGCCATTAAAAGTAAAGCGTATGCCAGATGCAAATTCGTATGTAGGTTTAAATGAAAGTAAATTGAAAAATTTTGGAAAAATTTTATGTTATATGAAGAAAAAGTTAATAAATGTTTATTTTAATGTTATAATTGTGGCAAATGAGTCTATGAGGTATGACGCTGTGCTTGGTAGAGATTTTATGGATTCTTTTGGTTTAAATATTGATTTAAGAACATTGAAAATTGTGAACGGGCATAAAGTTGATCACCAGAATAATGGTAAAAATGATATCATAGCTACAAGCTACAAAGAAAAACAAAAAAAAGTGGACGATGAAGCTACCAAACACGAGCAAAATGAAACTATATTGTTAAATGATAAAATCGTTAATAAGGAAATAGTCAGTAATGAAACTGTTAGTGATGAATTAGTTAGTGAGAAAATTGTAAGTCCGGAAACGCTTGGTGATAAAGTTGGTAGTGATGAGATAGTTAGTAATAAAATAATTAGTGGTGAAATAGTTAGAAATGAAGTGATCGGGATCGAAACTGTTAGTGATGAGATAGTTAGTTATGGAGAGTTTAAGCTCGAACCTGATAGTGAAGAAGTTTTTAGTGATGAAATTATCTATAATCAAACCGGGATTGAAAAAGTGATTATAGAAGATATAGGAAACAGTGCAGTTAAAATTAATAATCATGTTAATGAAGCGCCAGTGAATAGCGAAATCATGGGAGTGTTAGAAGAGAATTTTGAGAAGGATATCTTAACAATAAGTTGGGAAGATTCTAACAAAAGAGAAAATATATATATTTTAAGTGAAGATATTGATTACAGCACAAAGTGTGAATTTGAAAATTTATTTGAAAATACTTATGTAAAAGCGAAAAGGCCAAATCAGCCAAAATTAAGACATGAGTTAAGCATAAGATTAGAAAACGACAAAGTATTTAATTGTACACCTAGGCGGTTATCTTATATGGAAAAAGAAAAGTTGCAAGAATTATTAGACGACTATTTAAAAGATGGAATCATTAGGCCAAGTTGTTCAGAGTATGCATCACCTATAGTACTAGTGAAGAAAAAAACTGGAGACATGAGGTTATGTATTGATTTTAGAAGACTGAACAAAATTATATGTAGAGACAACTACCCGCTACCATTGATCGACGATTTATTAGACAGACTATGCGGAAAAACAGTATTTTCAAAGTTGGATCTAAAAAACGGGTATTTTCATGTTTTTGTTAATGAGCAATCTATTAAATACACTTCATTTGTTACCCCTTTAGGACAATATGAATTTCTTAGGATGCCCATGGGTTTAAAAACTGCGCCACATGTATTTCAAAGATTTGTTAATAACATATTTTGTGATATGATAAGAGATAATAAGGTAATTGTTTACATGGATGATATTATGATAGCAAGTAGAAACATAAAGGAACACATGGAGACCTTAAAGGAAGTGTTTATAAGACTGGTGCAAAACAAATTAGAGTTGAAATTAGATAAGTGTGAATTTTTTAAAAGCAGCGTTAAATATTTAGGATTTGTGGTGGATAGTAAAGGCGTTAGGGCTGATGAAAAAGGTTTAGAAGCGGTTAAATCCTTTCCAATACCAAACAAAATTCAGGGAGTACAAAGTTTCCTAGGGTTATGCTCCTACTTCAGGAGGTTCATTTTTAACTTTTCTATATTAGCTAAACCCTTATATGATTTATTGAAAAAAGATAAGAAATTCAAGTTTGGAGAAGAGGAGTTTAAGTGTTTTAATATGTTAAAAGATAAATTGTTAGAGGCGCCAGTACTATCAATATATAATTACAAAGAAGAAATAGAACTACATTGTGATGCCAGCGCAGTGGGATTTGGGGCTGTTTTATTTCAAAAAAAAGAAGATAGGAAATTACACCCGATTTTTTATTTTTCTAAAAGAACAACCGAAGTAGAGTCTAAATATCATAGTTTTGAGTTAGAAACGCTAGCCATCATTTACGCATTACGCAGATTTCGTATATATCTGCAGGGAAAACGATTTAAAATAATGACAGATTGCAACTCTTTAACTTTAACGCTTAACAAAATAGATTTAAATCCGAGAATTGCTAGATGGGCGTTAGAACTACAAAATTATGATTTTGAGTTAGTGCATAGATCGGGCAAGCAAATGCAACATGTGGATGCGTTAAGCAGATGTTATGAGGACATTTTAGTTATTGAATCCAATAGTTTTGAGGACAATTTAGTTATTTGCCAAAGCAAAGATGACAAACTGGTAGATATTAGAAAGATGTTAGAAAAAGAAGAGCACAAGCTATTCGAAATGAGAAATGGGGTCATTTACAGAAAAACAAATGATGGCAGATTAGTTTTTTATGTACCAAAGGATATGGAAGAACATGTACTTTACAAATATCATGATGAGTTGGGACATGCTGGGAGAGATAAGATGATCGATGCCATTGGAAAGAGTTACTGGTTCCCATATATTAAGGAAAAAGCAATAAACCATATAGGGAATTGTTTAAAATGCATTGCCTTCGCCCCCAAGACGGGTAAGAGTGAAGGACTATTACATAGCATACCGAAAGGAAACAAACCGTGGGAGATGATCCACATAGACCATTATGGACCAATTAATGCAGGAAGGGCTAATAAATATATATTGGCGGTGGTTGACGGATTTTCAAAATTTGTAAGACTATATACAGCAAAGACAACAAGTACGAAAGAAGCGATTAAGGCATTAAAAGATTATTTCAGAGCGTATAGTAGACCTAAGTTCATTGTATCGGACAGAGGGAGTTGTTTTACTGCAAAAGAGTTTGATGAATTTTTAAAAAATGAGGGAGTAACGCATATTAAAATAGCAACGGGTTGTCCGCAAGCAAATGGTCAGGTGGAAAGGTTGAATAGAGACTTGGGTCCGATGATGGCAAAAATGGCGGAGCCAGAAAATGGTTTACATTGGGATGTTATTATAGAAAATGTTGAATATGCAATAAACAACACACAACACAAAAGCATAAAGAAATTTCCAAGCGAAATGTTATTCGGATTACAACAGAAAGGAAAAGTTGTTGATGAATTAAAGGAAAAATTAGAAGAGTTTACACAGGTGAACACGTGTGATAAAAGAAATTTAGAAAGTATAAGAAAGAGTGGAGAAATATATCAAAAAGAAGCTCAAATCAGAAATGAAGAGCGGATTAATAAAAAGAAGAAAGTATCAGTAGAATATAAAATAGGTGACTATGTCATGGTAAAAAATTTTGATAGCACACCAGGAGTTTCAAAAAAGTTAATACCAAGATATAAAGGGCCTTATAGTATAGAAAAGATTTTAAAAAATAATAGATACTTGTTAAAGGATGTAGAAGGCTTTCAATTATCTCGCAACCCGTACGTTGGTATCTGGAATAGCCAAAACTTTAAGCATTGGATGCGAAAATAGGCAATAAGCATTAGTTATAAAGATAGATACACATATAAAAGACAGAGATCGGGAGCTCTCTTTGTCAGGATGGCCGAGTTGTAATAGGATAAGAGCATCATTGGTAACCCTAGCCAGGGTTATTATAGTGTCACTATCTATGTTAATTATAACAGTACGATAAGTATATATCGATAATGAAGCAAATGTAATATCGATAAAGAAAAGCGGCTGCGGAGAAGAAGTGGAAGGCAGTCTCTCTACAGTACTAGCAGTAAGAAGACGTGTTGTTAAAAAAGAGGCAACCCAAAAAATAAGTTAAATCAATAAAGAAAATCATACTACTACAATATCAAGAATGGTGACGCTAGCTCTTAAAAATTACGAGATTTGCTAAAAAAGCAGAATTTCGATATCGATTTTAAGCGACTGATTCGAACCGGAGCAAGCTATCAATTATCGGAAACAACCTCGTAATGCGCGGGCGCTGGGAGAACATACATTTCAAATTTCAAGTCTTTAACTCTTTTAGGCTCTGAGATCCTTGCGTTCATATATACGGACAGACATTCGGACAGACAGACGGACATCGCTAGATCGACTCTGCTATTGATGCTGATCAGAGCTGCCCCCATCTGCCAGTTACTTATATTTGACCAAAAACATTATACTCACATAAATATATTATATTATTTTATTGTTTTGCTAATATTTCGTTTAATGTGGATGCACCATGAATGAATAAAGAAATTTTTCACAAGGTAGAAAATATTTTTAAATTGAACAATAATAGTATGTTTATAATAAGGTGTACTTCTGGTGGCTTCGCTATTGTGCAATTAAACATATTTTTTCACCTGCCGCAAATGACGGTTTCCCTTCAGCGTTGAGTGACTTAACTGATGGTTTTGTGAGTAAGAGGCTGTTAGCTACCAGCCAACTTCAGGTCCACTTTAATTTTCAGTCTGATTCGCACGAATCTGAAGCTATTAAAGATATACCTCACAGCTCGGTCAGCCGAGAACCATGATTGGACCACGATCTTCTCACAAAGTTTTGGGAGGTGGAAGATCGGCCAGCCAAACTGTCAAAAGGCAGACTCCATATGCGAAAATAACTTTACTTGCACCACCATAGGAGGTCGAGACAGGCAGATATATAGTTAAGTTACTCTTCAAGAATCATAATCACATTAATTTGGGACATTCGAGGTAGATCTAACTCGCTCAGTTTCTGAGAAACGAAAGTCGTTTAATGAAAATCGATTCCGTGATCAAGGACTACCTGGGCTTGGAAGAAGCAAGTCCTTCTTAGCAACGATTCCAATAACTTTTATCTCCCTCATCATTTAAACCAGACACCACCACAAAGGTTCGCGTTGTATTTAACGCCTTGAGCCCTTCCTAAAATGGCAAACGTTTGAACGATGAAAAACAAACATGACCAGTTCTTCAATCCAATCTATGGCGTTTTTTCCGCTATGTTTTCAGCACCAACATTACCAAATTGTATCGGCAAATCCGTTTGACGGAAACCACACACCATTTCAAAGAATCCACTACCGGAATAGTGATGGCAGGCTCTGGCGAGCTAAGCACTGCTCTGGCAGTGGGCTCTGGGCACTGACATGTTTCCACTACGTAAATGGACGTCCAGCGACAAGGCTGTGTTCATTAATGTTCCAAGAGAGCATCTACTACGAGCCGATTTCTT